TAGCAAGAAGAGTGTTCATTCTCTGTGCAGTAATACATCATCACATGTAATTATTGACCTTACCTCTCCATTAGCAAGAAGAGTGTTCATTCTCTCCAGGAAACTTGACTCCATGATGTTGGATTCATCTAGGATGAAGGCAATCTTTTCATTCTTGCAGCCTGATCTTCTCAGTACATTACGCAGGTCTTCATCAAAATCTGCTGCAGTGTATTTACGATGAATCTGAAAATATTAATCTTGTGACTCAGTCTATAGACTTTATAACGGCAACTAGAGATAATTGTGCTTCATTGCCATACTGATCAATGCAAACATCGATCACAATGACTCACTTTTATCTCTAATTTGCATAACATATTTTATTCTAAAATCTCTTCATCTTACGTAGATTGAAAAACTTCAAATTAGAAATAAAGATAAAAAGGCAAAATTATTTCTTTGATACTGTGTAAGAAAAGAGACAAACTGACAAAGTACAACACAGTGACATAACATTTGTTTGCCCATACGTAGAATGAAACTGGACATAGATCTGAGGTACTTTGAACTTGTTGATACACACCTTGACTTGGAAAACACTCAAACCATTCATCCATGCTACAAATCTAGACAATGTAGTCTTGCCTGCTCCACTGACACCAATCAAGAGAAGATGTCCCTGAGAAATAATGATAACAAGCATATATAACTAAATAAACAGTAATGATGAAAAGGTAAATTATACACCGTGAAAAGATGAAAAAACACCGACGCAGCTCACGCTAGTTTTTAGCTAGTTATATCTTCTTATAACTAAGAAACATATATTTAAAAATTGGCCTTGCTTCTGACTATAATACCTTTATTATTTTTATGTCATGATACTGGAATGTCGTTTCCAAGAGGCCAGGGTTTGACAATAAACATTCACTACGGACTTCATTTAATTATTTTGTTACACACATAACCCTCAGTTGAAATGCCAATTTTGCCTGGCAGTGACCCAGTGATCTACTGTACCTGTGGCTGTCTGAATATTCTGTCAATGCGGAGGACATGGTCTAATACTTCATTGAACAACACCAGAGGTACATCTAGTTCTTCCTCATAGAACACCTGGAAAGAAGAAACAATATTGAACATTATTCATAAAATTTGATGAAAGCTCAAAACTATTCCTTGATATTTGCACCATGCTCAACTCTAGAGGTGGGGCAATGATCAAAGGACTTATAACAGCTGTCAGAGTGAAAACCCAGAGTGTCAAAAAGAAACGGAGTTATGCTGATCAAGTGTAAAAACTGGTAATACAAGCATGTTCTGCTCAAAGTACCCGTGCACATTTTGCACAAAAACATTCCACTGATATGCCACATATTTGGCATTTTCCGCTGGAAAGCCTGTCAAAGATGCATAATCTTCATATGTATCAGCAAAATATGCTTACTTATGAGGCAAATTTAGATGTGATAGATGACAAATATATAAAAAGTGAACATTCTGCTGACATTGATAGCTTGGCTTTATTTTTTCTTCTTCATACAATAGAACTGATCAAATTGCATTTAAAAATCATCAACCACTTCTAGCTTGGGTGGATCAGCCATTAAAACAACTTTTCAGGTGCACATTAAGAGTGATATTTTTAGTTACTAATGTTTACCTTCAATCTGGCTTTTACAAAATCTCTTAGTTCTTCTTGTTCTACAGCCACATAGTCCTTAGACAGCCAGTTACTGTAGAGTATAGGCCTCATTAGAGCAGTCTTGCTGTCAATGTTAGGGAAGTGCTTCAAGGCTACCAGGTCCACATTCTCATCTGTCCACTTTCTCTCATCTTCTTCTACAAGTCTAAAGGAGAAAAATGTTTTCATTTAGGAATTGTTATTATTTAATTGGTGGTGCAAAACGTTTCACATGAGAACAAAAGGCCAAAAAATGTGGCTGCCATATTGGCTGATATGACCAGAGAAGCCAAGACAAGGTCACTTGTTTAAATCTTTTAATACAGCTATGATCACGTCCCCAAGAATAGAACGTTGTACCGTAGCTAATACTAATATTAAAGCTACTTTGAGAGAAACACTCAGATGGCATAAAACTGCCAAAATTCATTGTAGGTTTTTGACAATACAATTTGACTTTGAAACAGCTACATATGCCGTACACCAATGTGTCTTACCTGTCTTGGAAGAGTCTCAAAGCCTCATGAGCCCAGATCCTGACCAGTGCTTCTATACTCATAGTCTCCAGTGGTCTCATGGCTTCACAGATTCCTCTCACCCATCTACTCATCTCACGAGGACTGTAGATGTAATGAGGCTGCATGTCCTGAGTGAAACGTTCCTGTGACATTGTGTAAAACTCCACCATGGCGTCAGTAAGAGGCTGTGCATAGTTCCTTAATGAAGGCATCATTCTCAGCATGGCACGGTTGAAGGTGCCATAAATCTGGGTCAGGGAGGCAGGGCCTGGGTAATCAACGTAGATCACAGACACATGGCGAAGGAATCTGAAAGACACATAGAATTTAAATAATAAATAATAAATAGGACTTAGCACTGGAATTTCCACAGAGTGGCTCTTTATCAACTGAATTGCCGTCCAGCATATTTTCCCATACAAATCATTATGAAATATTTGATTTTGTATTTGAAGCCATTTCTCCTATAGTCAACATTATTAGCTAAAACTTTGCCTTCTCACTAATATTGAGGTGCTCTTTCCATTTCTGGTGTTCATTTTGACACAACATCTCTTTTTAAAGGGGGTAGGGTCATGTGATCTGTTGTTGCAAAAGGCCCATTGGGAACACCTATGCCTTCCAATCATAGGGCAAGTAAAAGACCAATGTCTTGGCGTTTTCACGAGTTTCGTTTATCTAATGTATGTTACTGCATATAAAGTGTATACTCATAGAATGTTCTGGGATCCTTTAACATGTTATTATTAATTGTGAGTTAACCTGTGGGTCAAAGGCTTTCTGCCTGGATCAGTAGGAGGGTTACAAGCTCCTACAAACTGCATTCTCTCCAGAGTAACCCAAGCCTGGTCTGAACTACGGAAGAACCCTCCATGCTCAACAATCTGTCGCAAGAATGATATCACACGCTGGGTACCTGAAAATATCCATAACAGAAATATGTGTCTTACATATTAAGTCTTGAATAAAACAATCATTGTCTTTAGTCAGAGAAAAGTGGAAAAACTCAGTTGAAAATAAATTTGTAGTACTGACTTTCCAATGCTTAAGAACACAAACTGTCCAATCTCAATGAAAGTCATTTGTAGGAAGTCTACAATAAGATAGTGAGCACAAGATGGTCTTACCATAGTGATCCATGTCTGGTAAATTGATCTCATCACAGAACAGAACCATCCACTTATTGAGCTGTGCAGGGGCCAGGACAATGCCGTTTGGTGTACGTCTGTATTCACAGTAGTGATCAAATGTCTTTAGAAGAAGCTCTGGTGTTGTTGCACTGGAGAAATTCAAGCCTACAACCTTGAAATGTGAAACAAGAGTAGAGAACATGAGGTGAACCAAGGCCAATTTTGAGCCTTAACACTTTTTTATAATATATGTTTTTTCCCCCTTTTTTCCAGCTACAAAATTTTAATAATATACTTTTAACAAATTTTTAGCCATGTATTTTCTATACTTAACATTGCATAAATAGTTCTAGTAATAGATTCTCCTCAGGTTGTAGCAACTCCTTCCTTTTTTAATGTGTTTAAAGACTTTATCAACTTAATTTTATCAACTAAGGGTTTAAAACTCATTAATATGAACAGGAAGACAACAAGAGATTGTAGGTAATAGTAACTATCAGTGCCCCAAACCATCTGTAGACCAATTGTTGACCATTTGCTGGTCATTTGTCAACTGTTCCTTGAACGCTTGTGGCCCGTTTGTCCCCTGTTTGTCTACAGTTATCTGTGGTATGTAGTGACCTGCCGACCAACAGCTGACCAACGGTCGGTTAAAAGATGGTTTGGGACCCTAATAGTTATTATCAAGATTGTACTAACCTCCATGTCTGGAAGAGCCCTCAAAGCACTGAACAGTGTCATGGTTTTACCACTACCTGGTGGTCCACACAAGACAAGAGGTTTGTGCTCAGCAAGCCAGGTGTAGAGGAGTGACTCATGACGGACAGTGTCAACTGTAGGAACAACAACATCTGGGGCAGCAACTTTGTGGGTCTCTACTTCAATCTGTGGCACCTTGGACTGCCAGAGAACCCATTCACCTTGAATTGTTACCTGTTGTTTGGGAAAGAGTTTTATCAGTGAAATAACATTTTAATCCTGTCTAAAAATAGGAACACTATTCTAAATTACACTGAATTTCTAGAGGGAATTTTATGGAGACTAGTAAATGAAAAGGAGACTGCCTGTTTTCAAACATCAACAATGACATCAATCAATACCAAAGAGGCAGAACAACAATAACAGTAAGAAACAGTTCCAAGATTGAGATTGGCATGTCTGTAATGTCTGCAATGGTATGGAAAGAACAGTATGAAAAGAATGGTATGAAGCTTAGCAATTCATCAATTAACAACTACAAATAAATAGAGGGTTAACATAAATTATATGGCAATTATATAAACTGCAGCTAAATGCATATAGAATTACCTCAAAGTCAACCACAGTTGCTGTTGAACTTGAAGGAAGTGGGATAGTAGTGATGTTCCTGATGTGAGCACCCAGTTCTTCTCTGACTTTCAGCTTGCCATCACCAGCAAACGCCCATAGCAAAGAATACACCAAGTATCGGGGTATATACTTGTCAATCTGGTCACGCTGCAGAGAAAATTTAGAGTAACAATTAGAGGTCTTGCACAACATGGCATTGCTCTACTTGAGAAGCATCATGGTGGTGCTTCGATCACTCGCAGTATAATCAATTTGGCAGCTGTATTCATAAAATATTGCTTACCTCCATTGGGAAGTCCGGATGTTGTTGGTTGTAGAGCAAAACATTTCTTATTCCCTGGTGTAGCATGGAGAATAGAGATTCCAAGGCACGCATGCGGGTGAAGTCCATAACATGCTCTTGATTGACAGCAAACTCAAGGCACTTCATTACAAGGCCATTAGAAACAAAGTGTTCCCTTAGATTCTCAACAACATCTCGCTGAACCTGTAATGTAAAAGTTTCAACAATTAAACACCTTTTAACAATGCAATTACGAGCCCAATGAGAAAACAAGCCTGGGACAGGGGCAAACTTTGAATTTTAATCCAATTAGCAAGAACATTTAGTCATCTGAGAAAGCATCTTAATATATTAAGTAATTCAGAGTTACAAGCCTTCAAAAGTGTCAAATATATAAAGAAAATTTATGTTTGGGTAGACAAACAAAGACTTGACGTGGAAGATCTGAGGAGGGCTTACTGGGTGCCATGGATTGCTCTCCCCACCAAGGAATGCCACATAATGTAATATGTAAAGCAGTTCCTAAAGACAGTGTCCCCGAAACCCTAAGAGACTTCTGCCATCAGTGATCTGCCCCTCTACAGTGTATTTTTTTGACTAGCTTTGGTTTACTCAAGGAAGCACACTATTTTTCCCCAGGAGATGTCCCCACTATATAAATTGGCAGGATGCTCATAGGAGATTTTGAAAATTACCCTAATACCATAGGTATTAGTCAAGAATGTTGTTCAAGTGGGCATGGCAACTAATGATTAGTGGTGATCTGAAACCCTAAAGGGTAGGACATACATCCCCACCCTTTTCCGATCAAAGTCCCCCGAGATATTCTCTTTTGTCTAGGATATGTGTTACATCTATGCATCTCACCTGCATTGATGGAGAAAGAACTTCTTCTTCCTGGGGTGCTCTGATATGCTGCATATCCTCCTCTGACTCTTCAATGGGTATCTTGCCCATGCRCAGCAGGTAGTTCTCAAATATCATTTCTGTCGACAACACATCCTCACTGAACCACACCATACCACAACGACTGACTGTGGCTAGGGTTGCAAAGCGAAGGTCTTGGACCTCAAACATTATGCGAACCTACAAACAACAACAAATGCGTTTAATGTCGTGTGTGGTAAATAATGAGTGTAGTGGCATTGCTTGTGTAACAGAATGGGTATTATAAGGTATATTAAAAAGGCGAATAAGTTACCCAATGTTATGGTCTTAACTTTAGAGGTTCATTTCACTATAATTTATTTTTTCATTCCCATTTCATACCATTYATTTCTTCCTTAGATATTTTTACTTACATTGGGTGGTATAGCAAGACGTTCTCCATTGGGGAGTGTTAAGAGCTTGTTGTCATCTAGCACACTGTTCAAGTTCTCAACCCATTCAGGGTCTACATCACCATCAAATATAATCCACTGTCTCTTGCCAAGCTCACCTCTCACATTCTCAATGATCCTGGTGAAATAAATAAATAAACTTAAGAATTAAGCCACCTTCTGAACAAGGAAACCATAGCCTTACCCCAGTAGATATTTTAGAACTTACTTTCTAAGAACATGAGTAAAGAGACCATCAGTCCATTCTCTTGTGTTGGGGTCCAATGTTCCATAGAGGAATTCCTTGGAGATGGCCTGTATAGAAAGAGAATGAAATTTTGTTACAATGAAATGCAAGCATAACATTTATTTGTCATGCTTCATATTCCAATCTAAAAAGAAAAAAATATTGTTCAGCTGCGAAAATATTACAAATTGCCGAGTGCTACTCAGTCTCAAATTTCAGATCTCCAACCAACGACATTTTTTGACATGATTGGGGTGAAATAGGGTATACACAGAACTTTTCAATAAACCTTGTTTATTATTCCCATGTGTTTATTCTCTTGATTATCATTTTTTTGTCTACAAGTCTTGCTTGAAAAAATACATTAATAGAAATTAAAGTCAAATGGAAAACCTTATCTCAGGTCTGAAATGGTTAAGAAGGATGTCTAAATGGGTCAAAGTCTATAACTGACAGTGTAAAATAGCTGTGAGGTGTTTATTGGCTACCTTTGGATTGAGGACATGTGCCACACCCTCAACACCTTCTGATCTCTCTAAGGCTTTCAGGAGTACTCTCCAGGCCATGGATTTACCACTTCCACTTGGACCAACCATCATTAAACCATGATGAATTTGACAGATCTGGTAGAGCTGCAGCACCTATTGTGAAAAAAATTAACAACATTTACTAAGATAGAGTTTCTTGTAATAGTAATTATGATACCTGATGATCACAGGTCCCCAGGGAGGGAGAGTGGGGGTAGTATACTTTAAAGCTGTGATCATGACCACTATGGCTGCAAATTGTCTTTAAAAAAATGTGGTTAAAACCTTTTGACAAACATACAGTACCTTATCAACCCATGCAGCACCCTGGTCTTCCCCTTCTCCATACACCAAATGCATCTCTTCGCACACTTTCTTGATCTCAGCCTTTAGTCTTCCCATATCAGCACAGATGTACTTCACTCCTGGGAAGACATCTGATAACAGGCTCTGCAGGAGAGGAATGTCCTCTGCAACAAGCTTGGGAACCATTGTCTCATACACACTTTGAATGAGGATCTTGAAATGAAATAAATAAGATGAGTTGAAATACTTGCAAGTATTCTCTCTGAATTTCTTGGCTAGATATAATAGTATTAATAGAGGACAATTTTCCTGCCAGAAATTGAACCTGTCCAGTTAAATCTTATTGCCTTGCCAGTCATTTTGACAAGAAACACTGAGCCAGCCAGTGATTATGACTGGTAACCAACCAGTTGTTATTTTACCACCATTTGCATTGCTACGCGGCCACCCTAGACAAAAATCGCAACGTGCACTTTGCAATAGACTGCCGTCAATCAAACATGTTGAAGTCATTTACACGCGTTTTGATCGGCCCGGATAGGCCCGGTGAGTGTGGCTCATAATACTTGTAAACAATCTACATGTTTTGGTGCCTTTTGAATCACACACGCGTGTAAATGATGTCAACTTGTTGGATTGACGGCAGTCTATTGCAAAGTGCATGTTGCAATTTTTGTCTGGGGTGGCCGCCTAGTAATGCAAATGGCGGTAAACCTAACTTTAAGTAAACAGGCCTTGAATATGTACCTCTTGTTCATTCAATCCTTCAGAGATAGCGGCTTCATCTGCTTTTTCTCCCTTTTCTTTCAAATCCTCTTTGATCTTCTGAATCTTGTCCCTCTTGACATTGCCAGCACTCACAAGCACACTCTTCAATGCTCGCAGCCCAAAGTCATAGTGAGACTGGTTGGACAGTTGTTCTTCACAGAGTCTGTAGATGTTTAGGAAAGTGAGTAATTGGTAATGTACCCATACATCATAATGATTGTGATGGTGATGGTGATAGTAATAATGGTACCATGGTATGGTGTAAGTGACAAGGGCAGTAGTGATAATGATGTTACCAGTAATAATAATGAACAAATACAATGGTTGATTGCATTCAATGATGACTATGATGGTGATGATGACGAAGGCTGCAGAAGTGATGATGATAGACAATTGCATTACATTTGATGGTCAATGAGTTGGGTTTGTTGATGACAAAGAAGTTGTAATCAATACAGATGACAAATTTTAAATGATGATAATGACAATAGATGACAACTGATGCTTGACTAACAACAGGTATAACTAATGTGAGCTATATTACTCTGCAATACTTACTTGAAGAAGGGTACAATCTTTCTAGCAAGTTTCTCTGCTGTGCGGAAACCCTGAGAGTACAACATAACTTCAGCAATCAACTGTCTGTCAGGTTTGGTCATGGCAAGGCTGCGGAACAACTTCTTCAGATTGTCAGGCAAGTTAGATCGGCCTGCATAGCCAGGGTTCATTGTGATGAATATGGCCATGTTCTTGCTGACTTTGACTTGCTTACCAACAAGTTCAATGGTCAAAGAGGCTGTCAACGAAAACAACACTTCTATTAACACAACCAAAAGAAAATCCAACTAGGTTTTGTGGTGCTAAATTGCCATCTGTTGTGCCAATGCAAGGTCAATATGCAACCAGCGAACATAATTTATAGAACATGATCACAGTCACTGCAGAAAGAACACGTTTTTCAGGCACATAACATTGTTTCTAAAAGATGAGGCACTCACGCTTATATTATTGAGCAACCTATCCATTGTACCACTTACCAGTATCATTGCTGCTCTCTTTCAAGGCCTGCTGGATTGTCTGAATCTGCTGGGAGACAGCGGACAACATCCTCTCTTCCAAACGATTGAACTCATCAAAGCAACCCCAGGCACCAACATGGCATAGACCAAGGAAGATACGACCCATAGCCTAGAAACAAATTCATTAACCATTAAATGATGAAGTTTAACATCAAGCTATTTATCACTATTAGAGCGCAAACATAATTTCAAGCATAAAATCTGTTAATGAAGAATAATACCATTGTAATCTCTGAATATGGGCACCAATGCCTGAAAGCTTGGAAAAAATTCTTTGTAGTTTAAGAAACATTTAGTTTACAATTATTATGAAAGCAACCTACAAAACACATCAGATCTAGATAGACTAAGATGAAAGCTTGTCGTTTCACTTCTCGATCTGACAACTTCACACAAAGCATTCCTGTTGCCATAATTTTGTTCCATTTAATCATAAAACTACTTTGCAGCATGTTATTTCATGTTATTTGTTTGTAATATTATGTTATAACTTGAAGAAAGGCATGTACCAAAACGACCATGCACATGACCACTGTTGTTTACAAAATGAATCGGAAGGATGACGCTGCCCAATTCAACTGCGTTCGTTCCTAAATTTAGTGTAGTTTTCAATCCACTCAGATACCAATATAAAAGCCGTAGAAAACTAGATCTGACAAAAAACAGGTTGATTCGGCTGAAAAATTGAACACGAAGATAAAACAAAACATAATCTTTGTGGAACAGATTCTTTGTGAAAGAGAAAACTTTAGTCAAGTTTTGCTCACGTATTATATGCGAGCACACTGTGATCGCGATGAAATTGTGATCAAATCGCGAACAACAACATTAAGAAAGGTGCAAACAAATTGTGAGCAGATCGTGAGCACTCGGTGCGATCAGCTCGCTATCTGCTCGTGCAAAAAACGTGATAAATGTACATGTTTCTGGGTGTTACTGTACAAAACAACACTTGACATGAAAATAAACAGGTTAAGCAACATGAAAAAGCCACAATGATTTCCTAATTTCYCTTTCAAGTTTTCTTTCTCTTTCTTTTTCTTTTGTTAATGACAAGAGCCTGAAGTTCCTTTTACAATAATCAGAATACTGATTTCATCATGGTTTTAAACCTAGAGTTAAAATATTACCTGGAAATCAAATTTCTCATCACAGTTAAAGACCAGCACAAATCTACCAAGCTGGTGTCCCAAGGCCTTGACAGACTCTGTTTTACCAGTTCCAGCCGGTCCTGAAAAGATGAACATGATAGTTAGTCTGGTTGTCATATTTTATACGTGTACAGCACCATTTTCAACTTAAAGGATATCTCTCTACAACATGATCATAACAACCGTAATAATCTGCATAAAATTCTTCAAAAAATAGATATTTTCTCTCTATATACTCACCAAATGGAGATCCTCCAAGTCTTCCTTCAAGGGCCTGAGTCATGGTCAAATAACATCGGTCAGTTAGAGGGGTTGTGACAAGCTTGTCTTGCACTCCCAAGTACTCAAATCCATAGTTGAACTTGGCATTGGCCATGTGAATAGTGAGTTGCTGTAACACATCTTTTTGCTTAGGATCAAAGTAGAATCTCATCTGGCTAAGCCATTCAAATGCCTTGTTGCCTGTCACTTTGCTGCTGACCAGTGTGCGTGTGACATCACGTTGGTGGACATGTTCAATGATCTGTATGGCGACAAAAAATGAATTTCATTACCCTACCCTTTACCAACACGCAGGAAAAGATTTTAAGCATATATACATGATAAAAGTTGTGCTTAGTTAAACATGCAGGTTTTTCTTGTTGCACCGAGACTTGACACAGTTTGTGCTTTGACATGTTTGCTGGGGTAAGCATCATATAACAGACAATACACAGATAATAAAGTAAGTGTTGGCTAAGTAAAGTTTCTTACCAAGTGTTCCAGTTTGCGCCGTCTAACAGGTGGTTGTTCTTGGAGTACAGAGTCTGCCAGTACATTCAGCGTAGCGTCAACCACATTCAATACCTTCTCAACAGGCCCAAGATCTGATGGCTTGGATGCCACTGTTTGAAGAGCATTTTCACAACTTTCTGACCAGGAGATCTGTGCTGCTAGGACAACTAGTTGTGCCTATGGAAAAATATGGTACAATGAATAAACAGACTTGCAAACTACTGTTGCTGAAAGCTTTCCTTTCAAACCAGATTATGAATTAATCCTTCAGTATTTACATAGTGTTTTTAGACCTGGACAACAACAAAATTAAAAATTTATGTTTTGGGTGCTTCAGAGTAACAGTGATTAACCATACAATCCTGCTGATATGAGAAAAAAATGTTAGCCAATCAAAATTGAGAAAATTTGCAAAACTGAGGTGTCACTTTTTCTCTCGAAATTATGGATTTCCAGTTCACCAAACTGTGGAGTTTCTAATAGCAGCTGATAAGAGTGACACAATAATTCATGAGTTTTTTCCTATTTTTTATTTCAATGGAGGCCATGTTTTTGTTTTTCGCTGGTCAATTTTCACAGGCTTCATGAGTGACACATTAGTTTTGCAGTGACGACATTTCTAGATCACTATTTCAGATGATTCAGCTGGACAGTTTGATATTTTATTCCATCAAATTTAACCTTAAAAAATCTTAACCTTTGTTTAAGTCAAACATATTTGGATAACTAAATACTTGCATATATTTTTCTCACAAGAAAATACGTACCTGGTATTTGTCTACCCATCCCATGTACGTACTACTGTCAATCTCTTCAGTGTTGAACTGCCGAATCTCCTTGACAGCTGAAGCAAGCAAAGTTGCCAGACTTGTGCGCATCTCACCCTCTACGCATGTCAGCCATTCATTAACCTTGGGATTTTCTTTGAGGGAAACTGGCTTTCTGAAAACAACTTCTTCTCCTTCCTTTGAACTAAGACCTGTGACCAAGGTCTCATCTTCATTCAGGATGATGCTCGATACACCTGCAAACATCTTCTTGAAATGTTTCTGCAGCTTGGGGATGCTCTTGCTGTTGCCAATAATCTCAAGAAGATCTTCATCACCGACAAAGTAGAACCTGTGAATGTTCAAAATATTGATTGGTCAATGTGTAATTGGTTTATTTATATCACATTATGTCAATATTTAGACTCCAGAAATTTGGCAAAAAAGGAGTCACGGAGATGGGCTTCACATGTGAGTAGAGTTTGTTAGCCAGGCTCTCCTTGACTTGAGTGTTATCAGGGCTGTCAACCCCCAAGATATTCAAATCTGGAGAATTGATAGGGAAGGAAATGACGTCACAGCGCGTCAAAAAGCGCGCGAAAAGACGTCTTTCGCTTTGTAACATTTGATGTGATTGGTTTATTTCTGACCAATCAGATTATCACTTATATTACAATGGCCTGCTTGCAAGAACAGTTTATGAGGAACGTTTTGATTTTGTTAGCGATGTAAAATAACACAAACAACACAAAATAATTGGAATTTTAATTATGGTTGTGAAAGTCGAGTCTCAGAAGAAATGGTCAGCTTCGGCGATTATCCGGGAGAATTGAGACTCTAATCTGGAGACCGGGAGATAGGGTCCAAAAATCTGGAGACTCCCGGTTTATCCGGGAGAGTTGACAGCCCTGTGTTATTCTCTGAAATTCTTCCCTTCACAAAAATTAACAACCTAAATCCAGTTCAATTTGTGAGTTAGCCCTGCCCTGACTTTGATCAGCCTAGAGGCTGTTTCAGGTTTCAATAGAAATTTGAATGTTTTTTTCAAAAGCAATAAGGCTAATAGATTAATTCAAAAAGTATGAAGCCAGGACAATGAAGTGTTCATTCTTAACACCACACCACCTAGAGTAAACCTAAATGTTTCATCCAATAAACTACTTCTAGCCTTTGTAATATCCATTCAGAGTGGAGTATAATAAAAATAACCTGCAGTTTGAAGATTCTCTGACCCTCACCTTGGAAATGATGATCTCTCCTGCTCAAGATATTCTCCCAAAGCCTTCTGGATCTTGCCAAGCAGGTCTGCCAGTCTCTCAAGCTGTCGCTGAACTCCCTGGATGTTGAGAACATCAATGATCTTGGGTGACTTTGCAACCTTCTTCATCAAGGTCAGGAACTCTGTGCTGATGCTGCAATATACGTTATAAAATTCAGCAATGATTACAATAATGAAAATCACAAATTAAATCAAGGGTCTTCAAAAAAATTATAAATTAAGAAGAGGGGAGTTTTGCCATAGCTGTGATTATTGGTGTTATGGAATTTTTACAAGCCAAATGGATGATTGAGAATGAAAGGAAGTGTTTTCCCTTTAATGAAGGTTGACAATGAGATTCATTCAGCTGATTAATGGCTGACAACAAAGAAAGATAAAAATCACTTAATTCCCTGGCTTTAATATTAACTGCCGGATATCCGACAATGTCTGGCCAGAACTGGGAGTTGTTCAGTCAAATATTTACCTTGCTAGTCATTTTGACCAGTAACTGATTTGCCATTATTTGAGGCCCTGTAATTACCTTCCAAATCGTTGAGTCTCTACTGGAAGCAAAGTCTTGATATCAGCACTTCCACTGAAGATGCCATCAAGGTAGACCCATCGGCGCTGCACATCTATCCATACATCAAAGATGTCATGGATACGGTTCAGTTTTTCTTCCCACTGCAGGGCATCTTCTTCAAACACCTGTAAAGATATAATACATCATTAGACCAAGCCTGAGTGATGCTTCCTGCTTTGTGACCTCTGTTGCAATGTACTTTTTAGAGCTTTAATCTTAATCAGATTAAAAGAGTTTCAACAGAAAATAAGCAGTGTAAATTCATGTACTCAATGCTAATGCTATTCAACTAAGTAAAGTAACTAGTAAAGCCTGGTTTTCGCTAGTGACACAAGCATAAGCACAAGCACAAGCATAAGACTTCATACAAACACTGAAAAACTGCTTTCCAGACCTACCTTGTAGTATGGAGAAAGCTTCATGGCAGAGATGCTGTTGATGTGTTCCTTGACCTTGGTGAACAAGTCATCCCAGCTGCGGATCAGACGGCACTTGTTCTGGTAATTCACCAGATCAAGCTCGTAGGTTTGCCAAAGATCACGCACCTACAGGAACATTATGATGAAAACGTTTTAAACAAAGAGGTGAAAATCATTTTGCATTAAAAAAATTTAACAAACTTTGTTTGGCAATAAAGAATGAAATAAGATGGACTCTTGAGTTTGGTTCGTTTCATGCTTCAAGTCTACTCCAGTTAGCAGGCATCCCAGCCACTTTTTAGACAAATTTGATAGGAAATATAGGCTGTGCAAGTTCTAAATATAGGAAAATATAGGATTTTTTCCCAAAAATATATGCACTTTATAGGAGCTAAGATAGCTTTCCGGTGGCGTAACCAGGGATCAGGAGGGTGCACAGGCAATGATTTGCAGAACTAAAAAGCCATAAATAAAAAAATAAAAAAAAAAGAAGGGGCCATTTTATTTCCTTCGCCAAAATAATATGCTAAACAGTGTAAAATATAAATGAATCACTCAGCAGTTTTCCTATTTATAGGAAATATAGGAGGTTTTCTTTAAATATAGGCTCTTTATAGGATCCTATACAAATTATAGGAAATATAGGATATATAGGAGGTCTGGGATGCCTGAGTTAGACTTTTTCTTTCGAATATGAATATTGAATATGAACACAGACTTTTACATTGAATATAACTGATTTTTAGATATTTATTATTTGCTGAATATGAACATTGATTTTTATATCAAATATTCTAATATTAATAATTATTGTTTATATATACACCTACTTGCAAGAACATTGACATAGAACATTAGTGATTTAGTGGGATAGGAATTATATTAAAAAACAAAAGAAGATCACTGAAGCTGAACATTTTCTTTTGTCTTTTAATGTATTCCTTTCTCACTAAATTACTAATGTTCCAATATCGTATGACAACGTTCTTGCAAATAGGTGTATATATAATATATGTATAGTATTATTATTATTATTTATATCAGATTTATTCTCAAGTACTTATATCTTATAATATCTTATCTTATATATTTATATCTCTTGTAAATAACTTTTGCATATATGTTTATTTAATGTTATTATTTAAATGTTTTCTCTTAATGTTAAGCACCTCAGAATACACGTACTCATGTAATAGGTGCGCTATACAAATCATTAAAAATTATCATTGTCATTTTGTTTGTAAAAGCGACTTTATTGTCGCGGGATTTAGTGGGATTGGGTTACATGTGACAACCACTTAAAATAAATGGCTCTTTGCATTAAATGAACCACAATCAGACAAATCCTACCTGCTTCAAGAATTCTTCAAGAGCCATTTCTCCTTGGGCAACAAGAATGGTATCTTTGACAATAGCTTCATTCTTCAGCAAATCAATGTCCCAGACTTGTCCCAGGGTGAGATCAGTCAGTACCCAACTAACATGGAGTTTCCTCATCAGGCCCTTCCAGTGTCGTTCCTTGAGAGCTTCGGATTTCAGTTCTACAATCAACACATTGACCTGTGAAATAAAAGGAAAGTAGATTAAAATGAAGCCATCATGAGTGAAAATATTCAGAACCCATGCCAAGAAGCATGGTTTACATTGTTGTGGCTACACACACTGCAAAAATTTGACAGGGGACACATGTACTTGTAAGCTAATTAATTGTACACATGATATTTTAAATAACAAAAGTAACATTTGGATGTGTCATCCCACGTCAGAGCTGAGAATTGCAAAAAACACTGTGCAAGGTAGCTAAGTGTACACATGAAAAAATAATAACAATACTAAGCAGAACAGTAGTACAGAGTATGACATCTGTTAGAATTATAATCAAGGGTAAGCTGTATGTTCAGTACCTTGAGGTATGACTTGATAGTGCTCTGGACATGCTCAAATGATGAATACTGTCTCAGGCGTGAAGGAAGAGCTTTCATCTCATTCAATAGTGCCTCAAGTGACTGACGAAGCTATGATATAAAGCATAAATATGAATTAATATAGACAAAAATAATAAAGTAAAAATCTTTTTTAATCATCTTTAAATTAAGACTATAGTGCATACACTTAATTGCAAAATCATCGTCGGGTTCAAAAAATAGAACATGATAGTTGTAAAATTCTAAACAACTTAGATGTATGAATGCAAATCCTCTCCTCTCCTTCTCTTCCCTTCCCACTAAATCATTAGATTTTGTTATCTTTACATGGACATTTTTGTATACCTTCCTTGGCTGAACAGACAACCATGGCCTTTCCTTGAGCTCCTCAATCTTCTCCCAGAACTTAGCAAGCTCTGACCAGACACCTTTCAGGTCTTGAAGCTCTTCCAAGGCAACCTGGACCTTCTCTTCACTTGGGACCAATGTACCTATGAAAATATCATTAAGCATTTAGTTGAAGCATAACTTCAAAACCAAACATCAATGTTATTGAACCCTTGAAAAGCCTCTACCTCAGGGCGCTGCTAAATATTACAAGTTGAATTGGAATTTGAAGCGGAGGATTTTGCAAGGGGAGAAAAACCTGTTGAGTGTATTCTATTTTACATCTATTCATCACAAAATGATAAAGTGATAATAAAAGCAGTATGCCCACATTCTTTTAATCTACAGTAACAAAAGGTTTCCACTACTATCTGCTCTCTTCTCTAATACCCTACCTGGTTCCATTAGCTCCAAAGCTTCCTTGGCTTTGGCAACATTGTCTCTGTCCTCCTTCAGCCTGGTGAACTTTCCTTCGATGACAGCAAGGGCGCTGAGGGCCTGGTCAGGACGGATGTTACCAGATACTGGTTTGGTCTTCTCCCATTCACCGAGCAGCTCAGTTGAACGAGCCTCAACTGATTGATCCTCTGAGATGATCTTCATTTGCAGAGTAGCAACCTTTTATTAGAAGGTAAAAGAAAATATAAATGGATAATATTTTTCTAATGCAAGCAATGATGATACATGCAATGTTTTTTATGCAAGTCATGCAGAGACTCATGACTAAAGCACTTGACATCAGAATGAATTGGAATCTAGAAGTTACATGCTGCGAAAAGATCATTATTTTTGGGAAGTCAGGAAGGCGTGGTGGTAAAACCCTCCCCTCTCACTTCTGAGGTCCCAGGTTCGAATTCCAGTTGCCCCATGTGATCAGAGTAGGTCTTTCTGACCCAAGAGTATTTTTTCAGATTTTCAGATTTTCAGTTTTTCCTCTTTTTGTGGTGGTGATTTGCGACAACAAATTATTTGGGGAGTGACGAGAACCGGAGATTCCAGAGAAAAAGTACCGAAGCCTCAGCAAGCAGGAAAGAAGCAGTAAGGAACTCTGGTCATGTGATGTTACATGTACTGTAGTTCTGAGAATTGGTCTTAAATGCACAGCAGTGATAGGGAAATGTGATTAGATTACCCATGCTTTCCACATATGAAGACAAGAAAAATTCTACAAAGGGTCTATTTGGAAAAAAACATAGCTGTCCAAAATGTATTCACCCATCATCAATAAAAAATACCAGCCAGAGGACTGTATTTCATTACCTGAGTTTGGATGCTGGAATCCTTCCTCTTGAGGATATCATTAAAGGCTCCCCATTCTCCTTCTACATTATCAACATGCAGCCAGGATGGTGGGAATGCAAAACGCTGRCGTTCCAGGATACGTTGACCCTCTTTGAACATCTGTGAATGTAACAAGTAAATAATTAGATAACTAACAAAAAAAAAAACACATTTACATCATAATTTATACAGCCACTTGCAAAATTCAGTTTACAGTGAGGACACTTGAACCATGAACATTAATTTAAGTTTTTCGTCACTCTCATAAAATGCATACTGTAAATCATCCCTTGAGCCAATCAATTGCAAATAAGATTTATTTTGATTGTTTGATGTATTTAAACTTAACACTTAATTTTAGAGGGTTTGAAACAGTAGAAAGTTCAGGAAATAATAACCTGGGGGGGGGGGGGATGATGTGGTAAAGGTTTGAGCGTTGTCAATGTAACATGTCACAGTTATAAATAAAGACAATCTCACATGACCCTAATTTCAAGGCACGTTGCACTGGCGAAATTGATAATATCCTTTGAACCAATCACATCACACAAGTTTACTGTTCATCTAATGAAAAGTACTGTCATGATACCCATGAATGACACGTTTTTTTCCACAGTCATACAAATTGGTCATACAAGCAGTACTGTATATACCTCAACATTCTTGTCCCAGTTCTTCAGTTTTCTCTTCAGTGACTGCACCACAGTAATGAAACCAACAGCCTCAGATGTTGATGCTCCTTCTATTGATTGCTGTTCCATGTCACTGCGAGACTGTAGTATATCAAGAATATAGCACATAAATATGTAAACATACTTTACAATTAATTTGTCATCTGACAAATGATAGAAGTACTAGAATTTGACCTAAATCTTGGGAAATTCATTATAAGTTTCAATGGCAAAAGAAGATGCTTTCACATGCACAGTGCATTAATATAAAAGTGGAATTTCTTTTGCTCATTCTCAAAGTATGCTTTTCAAATACTTTCACCATAGGATAATTTGACATACTACTAATGACTCTCTAAAGATCTAGGAGGTTTTCCAGAGTAGGCAGAAAAAATAATAAGGTATTAAGTTTTAAAAAATAAGCCATAGATTTTCGAAGAACATTAAATGTTACTCAAAGACTGAATTAAAAATCTACAGTCTTATGATCCAGTTAACCAAAAAAGGTTTTAACATTCTCTTACCTTGGATACAACACCATAGAACTCCTGTATGCCATCGCCAAGTCTGGAGGCAAACTTGCTGAGAACATCTTTATGCCATGTGTCATACTTCATGTTGACCTTGGACTGGACTTGAGCAAAGTCAACCACAATAGGACCAAAGACTTTCTTGCTCTCAGAAGTGTCAAAAGTGACACGAGATTTCCTGGAAAATATTGGTAAAGGATCTTTTGAGAATCTGAATTACTGTCAGACAGTCAAGATTAAAAATCTGGAATATTAAGGTTGACTATTTCTGGTGATGACATTTTATATACATTTAATACAGGATAAGAATTCTAGCTTACTTGATGTCTTTGAGCACATTCATCCATTTACTGAGGTCATCACCCAGCCTGTTGTACACATTGCCAATGTCCATATCCCACAGGGCTTGATATTGCAGCCAAACCTGTTCATACTCCTCAACCTTCTTTACTACTTCCTCAATAGCTCCATATGCTGCTTCCAGTACTATGGGACCCTCTGGCAACTTGGCTAGGAGATTCCTGTAAGTTGTTTCTGACTCTGACTCATCACGCTCCAGTCCAACCTGATGGAAAATAACAAAGTAGGAGATATCAATCAATAGAGCAGGGTGGAGCAGGGTGGAGCAGGGTGGAGCAGGGTGGAGCAGGGTGGAGCAAGGTGAATAAGGGGGGTTGCAGGGGTGGAGCAAGGTGAATCATGGGTGGAGCAGGGGTAGAGCAGGGGTGGAGCAAGGTGAATAAGGGGGGGTAGCAGGGGCGGAGCAAGGTGAATCAGAGGTGAAGCAGGGGTAGAGCAGGGGTGGAGCAAGGTGGAGTAGGGGTGTAGAGTAGTTTAGAATACTGAAATGGTGTATAGTGGAATCGAGTGAATTGGGATGGAATGGTGAGTGGTACAGTGGGGTAGAGAAGAACACATTGTGCCAGAGTAAACAAGTTCTAGAAATCCAAAGATGCTAATTAGTTTATGGATTACCTGGTATCTTGAGCTCTGTATCCTTGGCAACAGGGTAATAATTCCAACCCATTTGTGCAGTTCGTTGATAAGATGTTCACGAGCTCTTTCGACTGGTGGACGCATGAACAATACTTGATTCTGGATGCAGACTTCATGGATTGAAACCTGAGAAAAATTGAAAGAATTCAACAACAAAAACGAAATATAGAGAAATGAGGAATTACAGGAAAATAATGACACACAAGAAGAACTACTGTAGTCAGAGTACAGCTTGTTAGTTACCAGAATGTCAGGGTCACCACCAGGTTTGTGAGCAGCCATTGATGTGGTATCTGTGTCATCAAGGTGTTTTGTACTCCTGTTACCTTTAAGGCATTCTGTCCAGCTTTTAATTCCTGCCTGAAGACGGCTGGACAATCTGATTTCAACCTAGATCATCACAAAACCAAGATTAGTTTATGTTCCATTTACATAAGAATAATAATACCTAGATCACTACTGTGCTAGCCCATTGTTTTTGAATAAATGTGTTCCATGTCATTAAAGCTTTCAATAGGAAAAAAATACATAAATATAAGATTGAAGTAAATTTAAACAAAATTTACAAAAAAATGAAAATTTAAGTGTTGCTAGAGGAGACAAAAACTATAACATTAAAAGAATATTATCTCATACTATGATGCCACACATCGAGTCAAAACTTCAAAAGTGTTTAAGTAGGAAAAGAAAAACATCTACATGTTATCGCCTAGTCAGAGATGATCAGCTTTTTAAACTACATAATAAAAATTGCACTACGGATCCCTTGGGAATCAGACTGAAGTTAATGACTTATTGGGCTGTGTGTAATGTTGCCGAGGTTTTAAAGTGGACTGCACACAGATGGATTGACTGCACTAGTTTGAGTGTAGTCTGTTAATGGAGTACATGCATGTAATAACTGTAATAACTGCATGCCATGCTGTTTCGCAGTGCCATAATTATTAAATGTCCTCTATTGTTACGTCAATTTAACCTTGATGTATAAAAACAATATATTCATACCTGTTCATCAAGTGTTCGGACCCAAGAAGGCAAGTTGGAATAGGAATGCAGATTCAGCTCATCCACAGCCTTCTGTACTTTGGACAAGATGTCTCTGAATGACTGGTTGCTCAAAGCACAGGTGTCTAGAGATCTCACCTCAATGTCAATCTTTTCTACGCTGCTTAACAAATCATCAACCTGAAAATGGTTAAGAGGAATTCGATGAAGTGAACATTAAAGTCTGGAAATAAACTGTGACTGTTTTGTGCACCCAATACCGAAACAAAACACATTGATGACCTCTGCAAAACCATCAGCAATGCTGCAGGAGTTGAATCACTATCTACAGCTGTATTTTAGCCACATCAATACACAACAAATTTATAGTGCAAACAAATGAAAATTGCTGCAAATGGGGTGCTTTTTTCAACCAATAAAAAGTAGAACTCATACAGGGCTTAAAAAAACAGAAGGTCAGTTACCAGTCATGTGACTGATGAGCCAAATTAGTTTTAGCTTGGTCATACCCTTACTTTTGGCTCAAATTTAATGGTCGAAATCACTGGCAAGGATTTAAATGGAAAGTTCCAATTATGGACAGATGTTAATAGGTGACTGGCTGTTAGTTTAATCCCTGTGCATACTCAGGCTCTACAACTGTTGCATGCAAAAGTTGCACTAAGTGTTAGGTATTTTCCAAATATTCTTAAAAAGTTCAATAACATTTTTACCTTTTCCTGGAAGTTGAAAACTGCTTCTGCAAGTTTCTGGACATATGGGTCAAGCTTGTAAGACTCCCAAACAAGGCCGATACCCTGTTACAATATATCAATCAGTTATGATTAGTGGCAAGAATGATCATAACTGCAATTGTTGTTGTCATTATCATCATAATCATTATCATTCACTTAACATATAGATCTTTACTGAGTGACAAAAACACATTTCATAAATTATCATTCTTGTCGTCTCAATGACATGTTTATCTTAATGATACCAAAAAACAATCAAATACAGTCACATCTTTCTTGTCAACTCAATTCTAAAAATATTATGCTGTAGATACCAATCAAAAATTGTGACTTAAAAATCTTAGATAACTGTACCTCTGTGATGAGAGCTTGCACTTCTTTCTTCAATCCGGCAACAAGAGGTGAAATGGAGTACTTCTCCTCAACCTAAAAAAATTAATAATGAACAGGAATAAAGAGTCAGTTAATGCAGTTCATTATTTTGTTCATTCATTTCACATTGGTGAAATTTATTACAATGGAATCCCAATAGCATAAAAACGGTGATTTGCATTACTGTACCTTTTCGCAGGTTCTTTCATAGGTGCGTACGCTTTCAATCAAGGAGATTGCAAATGGATATAGCTGATTGGCTTGATGAGCTTTGTTGACAATAGCTAGAGGAACGCGGAACCCAAGCCACTTGAGGTTACGAACCTACAATATACATCAAAAGGTATTAGTAAAGAAGTGAAGAAAATACTATGATCACAATATTATGACTGGATTACCTCTTTAGAAAGAGTAATGATTTCAGGAAGGAAGTTGACTTTAAGCTTCAGAACATTGCCTCTTCCACCTCCTCTTGCACGCTGACTCTCAATGGTGAAGATTCTTCCAGAAACCCCAAGATTTCTTTGTTGGACCTATAGCAAAATTTACAACATAGCCTTGAGTGGATTATTTCTATATTGGGCAGGACTAATGACAATTCTTTCATAGGGCTTAAAATCAACCTGCCAATGGCCAAATGGCAGGCTGAATTTCTGGTTTGACAGGGTGAATTTTAGGATAGGCAATCAATTGGATAGTAGAATGGCAGATGAAATTTACTGGAATCGTCGCCTTTTAAAATGCTCCTTTAAGGTCAGTTTAGACCTTACGATTTTTGCCTACAACTATCGTATACAACACGCTCGTCTCTGTCATAGGCGAGTTGTAGGCTTGATTTACACGCTACGACTAAAGTTGTAGGATGGCACGAGCATGTTGTATACGATAGTTGTAGGCGAAAATCGTACCGTCTAAACCGGCCTTTATATTTAACATGTACTATGGCAGGCTACTATTTTTTCCTATTTCGAGCCCTGCTTAATCATACTGTACCTTTCTTGACCAATCATCAAACAGCTCCTGGGTGTTGAGCTTTTGTCTAAAACTGTCCCCATCAGCTTTCAACCTCTGACCTTCAACATGGTTCTCCCAGCCTTTACCGAGGACGTCCTCCACTCGACGCATGTATGCTGACAGCTGTCTATCAATCTAGATAAATAGAATGAACAAATCATGAACATTTAAAGTTTTGATGGTTGTCTCTTCTAATCAGGGCTCGTGCTACATTTTTGTCACAAAATTCAAGAACTTTTCAAGCACCAAAAGTTCAATTTTCAAGAACAAAGTTTTTTGTATTAGAACGTGGCTTAAGCATTGATTCAATGTTACAGTGCAGCTAATTCAGCCGGGACCACTAGCTTAAATAAATAGATCTTTAATATGCACATTCTTACCAGGAGTACCCAGATATTCAGCTAGGCTATTTACAAAATATACGAAAACTCTCCAATCAATTTTAATCGTTATTTATTTCAAAAGGAAAGTCAGAAATAGCATTAAGTTTGCATTAAATTCAAGGAGTTTTCCAGGAGTTTTGGCGTTTTTCCCTATTTTCAAGAGCTTTTCAAGCGCCCGTAAAAACGTGTTTTCTGTTCAAGGACTTTTCAAGGATTTCAAGGAGTAGCACAAACCCTGTCTAATGCAGTCATGGGCTCAATATTTGAACTTAAACTTGGTATCATAAGATTGCATGATTTTAGTGGCTTTTCTCTTACATGTATACTTAAAAGAAGTCTGATAGAATTTATTTCAATACAAAAAGAAATTAAATGCACTCTACAAAGCATACTCTTCTCAGGAACCCATGAGGGGACTCCTGACAGAATAATAAAAATTAAAAGTTTTAAATTAATGTACATGTCGTATACCTGTCTTGCCCAGATGATTGATCCTGATACAGGTGGAAGATCCCGCACTCTGCTCATCTTGCATGCCTTACTGTGTGGATATTGCACCTGTAAAATTCAATAAGCGTTAATGTTAAAACTCAAATACTTGTTACAGCTCCTACAGTTAAGAGAATCCTGGTCTTAATTTCCCAGGTGTTATATCTAGGTGCTGCAGTTTTAATACACTGGTCAAGTACTCTACACTGACAAGGGAATTACCATGGCAACCAAAAGATACACCACCTGCCCTAATCCCAGCACTTCTAACTGAATTTTTGATATGTATTTAGCCACTGTTGAAAAGGACGGGGACGACTGTTAACTTTGATTAATGAATAATTCAAAAAGGAAGCACATGCATTATGAATGCTAATGCATCACCTCTCACCAACGCAACCCATGTTCAGATCCCAGGTTTCAAATCCTGGGACCGGAGTAGTATGTAAATAGTGTTTCTAATTTTCGAGAGTTTTTCTCCGGGTTCTCTGGTTTTCCTCCCTCCTCAAAAATCCACTTCTAAATTCTTATTCACTCTTGGGCTTTTGCCTCCTTGGAGTCCAGATCTGTTGTGATTGTCCCGCGCTGTGATATAACAGCTAAAGCTTAACAGATTTTTATTGGATAATCACACAAAACAAATGGCGTGTGATGAGAAATACCTTGAACTTGTCATGGAGAGTTTCAATGTCATCCTTGACACGCTGGATAAGCTGTGTTTGGTACTCACGGATAGCACCTCTGATGTGAGGACGAACAAACAAGGCATTGAAACGAGAAAAGATTCTAAACATTTCATTGGCATTTTTAGCTGTTCCAAGTTGGTCTCGGAGCCTGGCTGTGATTCTCGTCTCAACACGGTCAATGCGTTCATCATATCTAAAAGAAAGAAATAATTCAGCTTCATACAAATGTTTTGGAGCTCCAAGAGGACAGATTTTGCAATTTCTTCAGTGAGCTTTAAAGGTTGGTCAGCAAATAATGATAATCTTTTTACCTCTTTATGGCTGCTTCCCATGCTTCAGAGCCCTCCTTTGTCACATCTAGACCGTCAACTTCCTTCACATTTTCATAAGCCAAGTTTACCTCCTCAATGGCATTAGCATCTGCAGGGTCCAGCACAACCTCTGGCTTGTCGTCCTCGTTCTCTTTCCCAGATGGCACTCCAGCATTTCCACCTGGAGTTTGACTGACAGCAGGGGGCTGAAGGACACGGACAATGACAGCACGCAGCTGCTCATGCTGAAGTCTGAACCTGTGTGAAAATACAAAGGCTACTTTTTACAATTTGAATCAAACAATTAAGCTGAAATCCATTGGATAGATAGAGGAATGAACAAAAGGGCAATGAGAGGGAGAAATAAGAGAGGGAGATACGTGTATGTAGAAAGGATGGATGAGACAGTTGGTAGCTGAGTGGGTTTGGTAAGTGGATAGATAGATAAATGGATGGATAGAAGGGATAAGGAGCCAGGGGAGAGACATTTGGAGGGGCTAGAATGCTTAGTTGGTAGGTGGGTGTGTGGATAATGGGTTGAAAGGACAGATAGACTGGAAATTATAAGGTTAGATTAAATTAAATTTCCTGAAATCTCTATACATTTTCTTTTATCCACTGAATCAACTTATTTGGATAAAATCAATATTGGATAATTCTGGAGACAAACTTCTAGTTATGGGTTTCCTGTGTAACACAGGTATCCCACCCACACAAACGTACTTCCTCATTTGATCAAGTCTAGCTTGTAGTCTCTTGTGTGCAGGATTGACTCTCCAGACCATCTTCAAGCTCTCTTCCCTCTTCTTCTTCACAATGTCTCTTAGCAATCCTTGTAGTTTTTCATATTCATCATCCCAGGTTGAAAACACTTCAAAGCATGCAAGCATGATCTGAAAAATATATATATTCTATTAAGTTAATGCATACAAAACTGTTATATCTCTGAATTTTATTACTATAAAATAAAAAATATAAAATCCCTTTTCATAGTGGGATACAAATTAAGTATAAATATATATTAGGCCTAGGGCAAACGTCAAACTTTCCATGCACCGAACTCATTAAAAACAATGGACATCAGGTGATAATGAGGCGGCATTCTTTGATGCAATTAAGTTTGGTGCATGAAAAGTTCGACGTTTGCCCTAGGCCTAAGTTTCCATTTTGGCCCACTGTCACTCACACACTACCACTATCTTCAACTCACATTTTGATTTTTATGGAGGGAGGAAAACCAGAGAACCCAGAGAAAAACCTTTGTGGCACAGGAGAGAACAACACAATGAAAAAGCTCAACTCACATATGATCTAGCCCGAGCCGCCCGATACTATACTTATGCAAAATAAAGGGTGTATAGACTATCAGTGATAAAACAAGATAACCACGTACCTTTTCAAACTCATCATGAGGGATGTGCATCAACCTCCTTGTACCAAGAACCTACAAAATGAATATATATATGATGCTCAGAAATTATACCAAGGTATATACTATACCATGATGTTATAGCTGTTATGCTAGGACTAGAATACACCCCAATTGAAGGGGAATGGGACTTCCAAATTTAGTCAAATCTATTATGAGAATAGTGTTGTACACTAAGGAGCATTTGATCATATTCACATGTGAATTTGTGCCACATAAGTATTAAATTATTATTATTATTATTAATTTTATTATTATTTTAGTTTTGTAAATTTTCAAGTGTCTGTACAGTCATATTCGAGTAGTCAACTTGAAATATTATTCTTATACAAATTTAGCAAAATTTCTCTTGTCTTATCTAATGGTTCCTACATGTATAATATAGTTGTACTTTAAGCTCTTCCTTAGCAATGATTAACAAAATCATCCTTACTGACTATTTAAATTTGGAAATTATTTATGGCTTTCACATGATTGATTGTACCTTGAGAAGTTGGGAGCTAAGGTCTCTGGAGATGGCCTCAACCAGCCTTAGTGCTCTTTGGATTGGATACTTGGTGGTGCGAATCTTTTTCAGATGAGTGAAAATAGCAACCAATGCTGATCGGATTTTGTCAAGCTCTGAGGCAGACAGCAGATCATCTAAAGGAAAATCCTTCATCAAGGGACTGTAGTCATTGACTGTAGCTAAAGCCTGCTTCAAACCTTTAAAAAAAAAAGATTTATGGGATCAATATAAAACATCATAACTATTTCTTAATTATATGCAACACTCTTATAAGGTTGTAAATTTTGTTGGGTGCTATTTATTTATTAAATGCTGCAGTTTTAAGGTTGTAAATTTTGTTGAGCCCTATTTATATTCCATAGCAACTTTCAAATTAGATGTTGATTTTCACTGAGTGACAAAACTGGAAAACCAGAAGAAAACCCCTTGTAACAAAGTGGGTAACACAACATCACACAAATAAATAGCACCCAGTGTTAAATCCACCACCAACTCAAGAATCTGAGTGGAAAAATGTTTGTGATACCTAAGCATCCTTAGCACCCTAATAAAGGGCTTAAAATAAAGGCAGTCATTGGACAACGTCTGACCAGAACTGGAAATTGTCAGTCAAATCTTTGCTTTGTCAGTCATTTTGGCCAGTAACATTGAGCCAGAAATGAAGTACGACCGAGCTAAAAATTATTTGGCATGTCATCATGACCAGTAACAGATTGGTCATTATTTTAAGCCCTGTAATATAAAGTGTAAAATAAAACGATCAATCAAAACCAATGAAATTTAACACACCTGTGTCAGTGTCAAAACTAACAGTCGCATGGAACCTCTTGCCATGTTTCAGGATGTCCAACGTCAAAGCAATATCAGGACTTTCTCTGATATCTTGGATTCTCAAGAGAGCTCTTTCTAGATTAAGCCAGAAGCTGATTTCTTGCAAGGCTGTTCCTGATGCTGGGTCACGGTCAAGCTTTGTGACCTAAAGAAAAAATGTACACTCATATGAAAATTGAAGATGTTTATAATAATTTTTCTTATATCTTGCCTACAAAAAGCTTTCAAAAGCTTTCAGGTTTTTTGGGAATCTTTACCAGTGCAAGAATTTGTTTTATACCTCATTTTTTTGCCATGTACCACAGGTAGCCCAAAATAATATTTCATCTCTATAAAAATTTCAGAAAATACAGGTGACCTATAGTTTGATTTTTATGTATCATAATCCATACCTTTTGGATCTCTTTAATCCATCTATTGACACCATTCTGAAGCTGGTTCAAGAAGACGGAATCTTCAACCTTGTCTCCAAAGTCTTGAACCTTGGGTCGTCTGTTCTCTTCAGACATACGCTTCTTAACCATCGCTGTGACTTGCTGGTGAATTGGAAGGGTGATTTCTGGGATGTCGATATTCTGTTGTAAATGTAACAATCCCATTTCCAATTCTGCTATTTTCTTCTCCACTGAGGGAACCATTTTGTCCCCATCTCTGAAGAGCAAAAATATTAGTATTATATTCCATATCACTTTATTTTTATTTTTCATAGTTTTAAACGGAAAATAAAAAATGTACCCCTTTATTTCAAAAGCTACTTTATAAATCAAACAATTTACATTTTGAGAATTACAAAGTAAATAAATGACCAAATCTCTGACAACGCCTTTTTCGATCAGAATATTTTGCATAAATAATATTGTACAATCCTACCTGTCTGCCTTGCCAGATCTTCGAACAAACGACTTAAAATAAGGCGAAACTGCATTACTGATGTAGGCGTGTAGTGTTTCATAGGGGGATCCTTCATTCAAGTTGAATACTCTAATCTGAGAGGCGATTTTCTTGTCAGCTTCGACAATAGCACCTCGTTTGATGAAGGCAATGCTTGCGAGCTTGGGTCCCTCATAGTGAACATCCAGATCGAAAGCATACACTGCCTTGCCGTTCTCCGCGCCTGTTTCCGAAGCAGCACTCTCGTCTCCTTCTTCTTCATCTTTTAGAGGTGTCTTAGTAACTAAAAGACATCGAACTTGAGGATCAGAGAGGTATTTTTTGATGTATTCTAGGTGTACCGACTCTTGTAGGGCAGCATCAAGTTCGAGAGGGACTTCAGCTTCACCGTCAAATAAAGGCGGGATAACTCGCCTTAGATAGCTCAAAAAATGACTTGTTTCGACTACCGAAGCTTCCTCTGGAGCTTCCCCACCATCCGAGGAAGCATCCATAACGTTAGATCAATGTATTCTCGTCAGAATAGTTGAAAATAAAATTAGAAATTTTCCTTTCCAACTTTTTGCCTGACTTGGCCAGGAATATTGATCGCTTGGCCTCGAACCGGTGATCCACGTAGCCCAGCATCACGTGACAAATATCCATGTGATTTTCGGAGAAAAATAGCTGCAAAAAAATGCAAAAGAATGTATTACAATAAAAGCCAAATAGACATTAAATGTTGAAACTTATTTTCCTCCCTTATCTCCATAATATTTATTTCCATTACAAACTATGTTTAACAAAATTAATTATGGGTTCCCTGAGACTCAGGAAGCCCAAACGAATTATTTCAGAGCAATCAAAACAGATTGCAGTTATAAATTTTAAGAATTTCCGCAAACTTTTTTTCAATTAATATTGGGACCAGGCACCTTTTTTATTCTTTATTTGCTGGGTCATTTATTCACTTTTTTTCTTTTCTGGGTAATTTTTGAACACGTGATCGATTGAGTCCATAGTTAGGAGAGAGACTGAGCACTAACATCGCATTTAACAAACGAAGCGAAATTTTTCTCAATCTTTGTCTCTTTTGGCAGAAATATTAGCAAAATATGGGTAGAAGGAGATCTAAAAGAAAGGCCGAACCAAAGAAGAAAAGAGAACCCTTAGATGTACAGTTCAACTGTCCTTTTTGTAACCACGAAAAGTCTTGTGAAGTCAAAATGTAAGTCTATTAAACGCAATTTGATCATTGATCACATGGCGTCTTGAGTTTGTTTGAAAATTATGTTATGACTTTCTTGCTGCTAAAATCACAGCTAACGACTTGAATATCATATTTTTGATAACAGTGTTTTAAACTCAAATGATGTCCCTGTGTTCATGTATTGTATATCAATATAATTGTGTTCTAAAGATAGATGATACAGCGAGTGATCATAGTTGTTGGTGACTCATTTTGTGGTTGTTTTCTTTTTTTTCAGAGATCGGGTCAAAAACTTAGGCTACATATCTTGTCGTGTTTGTCTAGAGACCTTCCAAACAACAATTACTTGTATCCTTTACATTAGTTTACTATCTATTCCTTGTCTTGTGAATCAACTGCGATGAACTGAAACCTTTGAGACCAAGTCAGTTTGGTTAGTAATCATCATTTTGAGATCTATGATGATGATGATATTTATGGTATCAGTTTATCTTACCATCATTATGGATTAAGGTACTAAATGTTAAAATACAATTTAAGACTATAATGATGACATATAGAGGGATGATGCTATGAATATTTATCAAAAGCTCAAATGATCAGTTACTTTCCTTCACTTACAGCCAGATCTTTCAGAACCTGTAGATGTATATAGTGACTGGATAGATGCATGTGAGCTTGCCAATCAATAACTACTAGATGATTAAAGAGCTGCAGTGATGGATCTCTATGTTAGCACTATTTCTTGTCATATACAATTTATTGTTCTCATAATTTAAATACAGATGACTCAAAGAGACTGTAAGAAAGTCAAACAAAGTCTACCTAAAAGACTCTGGTTTCAAGTTCTCTCTCATTTAGTGTTAGCCTTAATGAACCCTTCTCCAAATTGTCTTCAATGAGAGGCTAACATGGAAATACAAAAGAAATGCTACCAATTCCACCAAGAACAATTGTGATTTCTTTTATATTTTTCATATTAGCCTAGCATCCAAGGCATTAAGCATGTTAGTTGCTAAATAAATAGCCCTGTTGGCAGTTGAGTCAGCTGTCCAATAACCCAAATAATCGAAGTTAGCCTATAGGGTTCACAGGCAGCCCAAGCACTGCAATACAGTGCTTATAACAGCTTTGAATGTGAGCAATTAACGGTCAAAATTCGAATCCTTTAAATTGCAGTTTATTTGAATAAAAACGACTTACCTTGATAACTTCTTGTGTCTTTTGTTACTTGGCCGAGTTTGAAGACATTTGGACGCATTTTCACTGGGTTATCGATTTTTTTTCCCTCCACTATAAACTCGGCCAAGTAATAAAAGACACAACAAGTTATCGAGGTAAGTCGTTTTTATTCAAATAAACTGCAATTTAAAGGATTCGAATTTTGACCGTTAATCGCTCACATTCAAAGCTGTTATAAGCACTGTATTGCAGTGCTTGGGCTGCCTGTGTAGGGTTTAGCTCATGATAATTCTTTTAAAAAACTATGTAAGATATATGGAGTTTCATAGGATAATTTGCAGCTCATGATGGTAAGTGCAGACATCTTACATGGTTTTTCCTGAATATTTTTGCAAGCTTGACCCAATAGCCTCAATAAACTGTATACTTATTTAGGATAATGCTGGGCTGCAGGCTCATCAGCGAGAAGGGATATTGTACATTGGTCTTCTAAATGAGATATATGTTGAATGTTAGAATTTTCCTTTAACTTTATAGAGATACTGAAAAAACAGCTACAATGTAGTAATGATATTTATATTGAGGGGTCAAGAACATAATTATGTATTGTTAGAAAGAAATAGATATTACATGACCACACGAAAATACTGATTCTAACTTTGAGTGTTGAGGTGATATCCTACAAGTGAGTGCAGCAACCATGTAACATTCTGTTTAATACAATATTATTGTAATTATCAATGAAATAAAATTTTGGTGGATTCTTACTATTTAATGCGACCCCTAAATTTTTTTACCAATGATGTTATTTTCACATATCATGTAATATCTACATATGTAAAGATACCACTTTTTGGTAATTGAGAAAAATAGATATTTCATTGACAATTAATATGTATTAAATATAGAGATCACATGTTCGATGATGCCTATAGTATCCCTGAATAATTTGAAAGTTTTGTAAGAGAAAAATATCATCAATCCTTTAATCCTATGAACTTCACTCACTATGAGAATGTTTTGGAAGGCTTACAGCTGTAATTGGAAAATACTTATAATAAAATTAAAGAAATAACAATGGCATTCATCAGTATTTCGCTTGTTTAATTTGTCATCTGAGCTCAGTGTTAATGGTTACAGTGTGAATCCAACTAGTTGTACACATAAAGATTTCATTGATTTCAACAAACAAGGCATCGCAGGATTACTAAAGTATACCTTATTACATGAAATTTTCGCGACACCTTAATTTCGCGAATTTCGCGATTTAAAAAAAAATCGCGAAATTAAAGTGTCGCGAACATAACATGACGCGAAAATTAAGTGCCTCACAATATGTCAATAATCAAGAAAAAATACGTTTATTACCAATGAAACGTTTGCAAAATCATATTTTTAACTATCCTAGGGGCAATGTCTCGGTCCAACTTATCACTACTGCTTTCTGTTTTCATGTCTTGAAAGGATGGGAGAAAGCGGGAATAAAGGGTGTAGTAACTTGGATATCGTGGTCAATCAGTGACTCAATAATTCATGTACAAGCGTGAATTTTTTGTGGACATTGTGAGAACTTCTTTGTTGTTAATGTTGTCTTATAGACCCGACGCTGCATCTTTTTTTAGTTTTGACGATATTGTAGATGAAGTCGTTCTATTTGATTCAAGGATAAGCTAAATAAAATAGTGCCTTACTTAAAAACGCGAAATTACAGTGATTCAAAATACAAAAATTTCCCAAAATCGCGAAATTTAAGTGTCGCGAAAAACGCGCACCGTAAAATCGCGAAATAAACTTGTCGCGAAAATTTCATGTAATAAGGTAGATCGAGGTCCAGCAGTGGATTTGAAATAATTGTAACAATAACAAAGAAGAATAACTGTAACAAAAACAATTTCGTTTGAAGGGCATGGGCTTAGCTTAGTAAATAATAAAATAAGGAGAAAAGAAAATTTTWAAAAAATTTAAAATACATGAAATGGCACTTTTGCTTTCTAAATTAGCCTTAATTGCATTGTGGGAATAAGTTCCCATGAACCTTTGCTGTCGTATTACACATGCGTAGTAGTCTTCCTGTTGGCTCATTCACATCAAAATGGCCGACATCCCAGAGGTGAGTGAATAAATTACCGAATTCAACGGAATTTTCACCTTAATTTAAGAAATAACACCTTAGAGGACGTCTTATTTTAATTAAGACTATTGTTTAATTTTTTCCAATTGCGAAATTTGTTTGAATCTTGAAAAATTTAGTCGTGTTTTGGTAGTCGTTTTGTCCGTGTGACAGTACAGTTATAACTCGCTTCATATTTTTTTGAATCGTGCTAAGTGTTGGTATAATCTGCAAATTATATATTGCAAGAAAACCAGTAGCTTCTAACTGAATATCCTCCTCTTGTACTGTCTCATAATGTCTCTTTCCTTTCTTCTGCAGGCTCCGAAAGAAAATACTGACGACCAAGGTAAAGCAACCGGCCTTACGTTAAAATTTTTCTCTTCCAATAATTTAGGAAGCATATGAAAATCCTTATCGGTATCTCGCATTCCTGCGAAATTCCGTTCAATGCATGGCTAAAAATTTAACTCAAAGTCATTCTCTGAGCTAATATTTTTTTCTGTTTGTTACTGAAAAWTTTTTTCTGTAAGTTTGTTACGTTAGTTTGGAATTGTTTTGGATTGCTGTTCTAGTTATTGCGACATGATAATGCCTGTGAGGAGATTTTCACTTAAATTTTGAATAAATTTTTTTTAAACATTAACATATTTATTTATCTAACATATATGGATGCTGTTAATCTTTGGATGTTGCATTTTAGTAACTACTGTATTTAGTTAAAGAAGGGTTAATTTTTTTTAACATCCCAAAAATTGTGGAAAAAATTTGCATTATTTCCCTCGAAATTAAATTTTGCAAATTTTTGATTATCTGTGTACCTGGTTGTTACTTGTTGCTTTAGTTTTTGGGCATTCAATATTGTTTTGTAATCATTATATTTTTCCTTTATTATTATTACATGTATTATTTTCTAATTCTATATGTTATAATTAGTTTTTAAGTTTTTGTATTATTTAAAATCAAGTCATTCATAGCTGTAATAGCATAGAGATGTTAGTAATCAATATCTTTATCTTACTACTAATTTTAAATATTTCTTGATAAAGCCGTATGTACTGTTTAATAAATGAGCAAGAGTGTTTTATCGGGTATAAAACACTAGGCGCAGCGAGCACTAGACGATCTGCAAGTTTATAAAACAGTTTAGAAAACTTGTGCTGTATGTTCTCATATTGTACAGAATTCTTTACGAAATGAACCAAGTTTAATAGAGAAAATCCAAGTTCAAGTTTATGCAGATGAAGACGAATCTATGGCCCTGTCCACATGTATCCGGAAATTTTTGTATCCACAAATTTATTTTTGCGGATAAGAAAATGTTTGAGTCGACACGCAGCGTATTTGAATCATTTTCACTGTGCACACATATCCGGAAATTTCTTGATCTGCCCTGATGCGCGCTAGTGCCTAGTCCCTTTAACGGATAGTTTTTCTTATTGAGCATGCCCAAAATCGTGTTTACATCAACGTATACAAAAATTTCCAGACACGTGTGGACGCAACCCGTATCCGCAAAAAAAATTTCCGGATGTAAAAATTTCCGGATACGTGTGGACAGGGCCTATATCAGATATAAAACCTCCTTCATGGTTATGATTTCTATTGTGTTTCCTTCATGAATTATTAATGAGTTTTTAATAGTTTTTTAGAAAATTCATAAATTCATGAGGAAAGCACAATAGAAATCATGACCATGAAGGAGGTTTTATATCTCATGTAGATTCGTCTTCATTTGCATAAACTTTAACTTGGATTTTCTCTATCAAACTTGGTTCATTTCGTAAAGAAATCGGTACACTATGAGAACATACGTCATGAGTTTTCTAAGCCGTTTAATAAACTCCCAGATCGTGTTTTATCGGGTCTAAAACCACTCGGATACGACTCGTGATTACCCGATAAAACACTCCTGCACGTTTATTAAACATTACATAAATTGCTTTGTGCATCTGATGTAAAAGTGCTAGAAATATAAGATATCATTATTTTATTATTATTAAGGGTATAAAGAATGGATTGTTACATGAACATTACTAATCCAGGGACGTAGCGCTCATAGGGGCAAGGGACCAGTATCCCCCAGTTTTCCTCATAAAAGTAACGATAAGTAATATAAATGGATTTAAATATTCATTTTTGTGATCACATTGGTGCAAAGTGCCTTTGTGCCTCCCTTTCCTTCCCCCTGATTTATTTTATGTTTTTATCAATGTATATTTTTAAATATACTTTCAAATACAAACATAAAAAACAACATTACAAATGGTATTTTTTTATCAATAAATAAGAGAAGGGGGAATCAATGTTCTTGGCTTAACATGCAGGGTCAAAAATAATGGGCGGCCAGTCAACATACAATGTCTGGCAATATTTGGCATTTATCTGGTCAAACACCTCTCAGGTCATTCTTCTTGACTGGTCACAATGACTGGTCACAATGACTGGTCACAATGACTGGTCACACGTTAATCGGTCAATGTAACCAGTTATCATTTTTCAATTATGGAACAGCCCACCTTATGAGGTACCCCTTATGAAGCTGATGGGTATAAATGTACTAACATTTTCCTGAATATCTTCTTTTTTAGTTTCAGAACACAGTACTAATGACTCTACAGACCAAGACTTTGATATCACGGCAGATATGATGGTTCATGATATAGATGATGAAACCACACTAGAGGAGGAAGAACTGAATGAAGACAAAGAAAATATTGAAGATGAGATTGCAGAATTAGAAAAGGTATTTTCATTTTATCCTTAGTCATCTAAGTTCTGAAAATTCTCACCAATTTAAAAAGTTTTCTATTGGTTTTTTACAGAAGTATATATTTTTTTTTAATAAACTTCATATCTTCAAGCCAGCGTGTAATTTTCTTTGTAATATATAGATGCATTTAAAAACAAAAACTTGTTGAAAACATTGGTAAAGATGTCATCCATATCTTTACTAGTGTTATGAAAAATATCTCACTGAGGTCCTGGAGATATATCATATGAAAAATACAAGTGGCATATTTCCCAGTAAAGCACTAAATGTGCATACAATAAATGTCTGTAATGTGGGTTTTTCGCAGTCAAACAGATTTTTCAGTAATAAGAGTCACGCCCTTGCTAACATAAACCTTTTATTTGTAACAGGAAGGGGACATGCCAATTGAAGCATTACTAGCCATGTATGGTTATGCTGGAGACCCTAGTGAACGGTCTCATCCTGTCCCATTGGAAGATATCCAACCTGAACCCCTCCCACCCCTGGTCAGTGCGAGTGGTGAATCCCATGAACAAGATGTTACTCCAAACCAATATGAAGCAAAAGCTGACAATCACAATAACCTCCCCTCAACAGAAGAAGATGATGATTCATCTGTACCTTCCCCAGCTGCACAAGATCAATCTGATTATGCTCCTTCTCCTTCTGCCAACAAAAATGACAATATGTTCCCAGAAAACCAAAGAATCACAAGAGGAAGTAAGTCATAAAGACTACAGTAGGAAAGCATACTTGGTTAAATCCTTCCAATTGTCATCAATAGTCCACTTCTGGTTGTGACTGATTCTGAATAAAGATCAAAATTTGGTTTCTTGGGAAATGAAAAAATCATAATGATTATTTTGTTTCATGAGAGCTTATTCTTTGTTCACACTATTAGTGAATGAAACCCAGAACAAGTGAGCTATTCCAATGAGCAAATGTTTTTAATAAAAAGAGTTTTCAAAAATTCATGCATAATTTCATAAACTACTCATATACACCTACTTGCAAGAAGGTTGTCATACAAGAATAGAACATTAGTAATTTAGTGAGAAAGGAATACATTAAAAGACAAAAGAAAAGTTCAGCTTCAGTGATCTTCTTTTGTCTTTTAATATAATCCCTATCCCACTAAACCACTAATGTTCTATTTTCATATGACAACATTCTTGCAAGTAGGTATACATGTATCATCAGTTTATCAATTATTCAATAACAATTTTTTTCCTTTGCAAGACCTTACACAATAATACTTATATCAAGTCTGACATTAAGTTTTTTCTTTTCCAAACAAATCAGTTCTTGCTGCATACAGCTATTTTAACCTGGGTGAGAGTTCCTCTTCTGATGATGATGATAACGAATATAATCCAGAAGAATGGAAGAAGGTATATATAGAAGATATTACAGGGTTGCACGAAGATATGAATTTTATCTTTCAGTGGTGAAAATATTTCACAAGTGAGCGCAGAGTGATATATTTTTCAACAAGAGATAATAAACTTGATATCTTCAAGCCAACATGTAATTACTCGGGCTTTCGAAGAAATGCCCGAGGTATAAATTGGGCTTCGTTATTTTTTTTCTTCAGTCACAAATCGCCCTCGAAGCCCTAAGGCGCATGCGTCAAATCAAAGTCTATGCGCATGCGTAGAGTCAGCCATGAGCACATGCTTGAGTAATGGCGGATATGGGGAAGGACTCGTCGCTGTTTCAAGTAATGAATAATATGGAGTCTAACACCCTCAACATTTTTAGCACGCTTGATTTTGCACAGACTTTGCACCATCTAAAAGGGTGACAATGTTCACGAAGAATTCTTTCCATTTTCTGCTATGAAGCCCAAGTTCACGCAGATATGCGTCTAGTTTTCTTTTTATTATGTAGACATATTCACATGCAAAAACTTGTAGAAAACATTGGAAAAGACCTCATTGATATCTTCACTAGTGAGGAAATGGAAAATATGTCACTCAATTTGCTCTTTATGTAAAAGGATGATGAGGAAAACTTGTTTATCTTCTTATATATATATCTAGCACACAAATGTTAAAGTTGGATTGCACAAAGGATTTATTCTGTTCTCTATAAATCATTTTCTACAGGAGATCAGAATTGGCCCTGATCATCAAGCTGAGGTTCCTTCTTCGATGTGTACAGATAAAGAATGTGAGTCCATGCAGAAATTTTACTTTATTATAAGCTGTGACTGCAAGGTACAGCCATTTCCAAAATATATAAGAAACTTAAGAAATGCCTGCCTGCCTGCCTGCCTTCCCTTTCTTTTTTAAGCCAAAAGCTTTAACCTCTTTCCAAGATCTCCACCCTGCTTTTTCTCTATATTTCTTCTCCTTCTGGTCTTGGGTATTCCTCTTGCCTTTATTCCCTCCAGTACAATGGATTTATCTGAGCTAGGAGTCACAGTTTCATGTTAAAATATTGATATATTGAACATAGCATAATGCTATAAATCTGGTCCCAAGCTTTCTGTGATAGCTTCTTGTAACCTAATTGGTGAATGTAATTGTTTTTAATTTTTTCATAGATCATTATGATGGGCAGGATAAATGTTTATGGAATCCTACAAAGATTAGTGAAAAAGAATGTAAGTGATAGAATTCTTCTAACATTTTGTAAATTGCTAATAATTATTATAATAGTTATAATATTAGAGATATTATTGTTAGAGGGGGGATCTGATCTCCAGGCAAGAAAACAGAGCTTGGCAAAACATATTATTTAATTTAAATATTAGAATCTTTTTTTTTTTTTTGATATTTTGAATCCTCACAATCTGTAATGTTTATTTACAGTACAATCTTATTTAAATATGATAAGTCAACCAGTCGATGGTGAAGCTATTACAAGAGATGTGTTACGAGATGATGAGCAAGTAAGATGATTCATTTCTTTTTATTCCACAATCTCTTGCCGTCATTAATATTCCAGTTTCAAGTTATCTGTTGCTCAGTGTTAGCCTCAGTTTTGTGAATAATATTCACGTGTTCCAGTCAAGGTCCGTCAAGTTTCAAAGTGTTCGTATTGTTGAAGTGTGTATTCTCTACTTTACCCTTGGTATTTGTGAATATCTAGACACTGATTCTGAGGCTAACCCTGAGTAAATGAGTCTGTGATCAAGGAACACAGCAGTAATTTGGAACTCAAAAATGTTCAATTTATGGTAACCAATGCTCATATGACTTCACCCCCATCTACAGGATGTGACTGTGACTGTACCAGTTCTATTCCATACCCCCTGACTCCAGTTCACCCTTACTTACCTTATAATTACCATACTCAAATCCACTCCTTATGCCTCAGCAAAAATCAACATGTGAGTAAAGAGTTCTATGCATACAGTAGAATATTTAGTGCAGTGGTTGTGTGTGTATATATAATAAATTTGTATCCCCCATACATAGCTCCAGTCACACTAATAATGTAAGTTTCTTCATAGTTCCATGTTTGTTTGCTCACTAGCAATTTTTGTTCTTGTAGGCATTGTACCTCTTACTACAGTGTAATTATGATGTTAAGGAAGCTTTGAATAAAAAGCATTCTCAAACTAACCCTAGAGCTGGTATGTCAAAACATTGTAGTCATGAGTTGATACTTGATCTTTTTATTTCAATGGGAAGAAATAAATTCATATTCTCATCTTTTCTTTTTTTTTCTTTTTTTTTTTTTTTTTTTTTTTTTTTTTTTTNTTTTTTTTTTTTTTTTTTTTTTTTTTTTTTTTTTTTTTTTTTTTTGTATTACAGAAATGGCATTATGGTCAGAAGAAGAGTGTAGAGACTTCGAAAGTGGTAAGTGATTAGGTACACTGTATTTGTAGACATTTCTGACCTGGGTTTTGGGAGTTTCATAGTTGAGCTCTTTATTTTTGACATTTTATTTTATTACAACACCTTAGGTCTTAGGATGTTTGGAAAAGAATTCAGACAGATACAGCAAAACAAGGTAAGGCTTTCCTTAAATCCTTGGGTCACCCTGCAGAGGTCATCACACCAAGTGGGTACATAGTGCAAAATTGTCATTTCCTACGCTGCCTTGTGGAACAGAGTGCTATTGGTCTCTTTTAACTTTTCAGTGTGAACAACAAAATTTGATTCTTTGACATTCTTAGAGAGTTTTTGTTGATCATAGGAAAATACTTAGATAAAATTCTTCTGTCTGTCTTAAACAATAGAATTCATTTTCAATATCATGATCATCATCTTCCTTATCATCCTACCTCATTGTCATAATATCATCATCATCATCTTTTCGCCATCATCACTATTCAAATCTCATGCGTGTGGACGATTTAATGCCTAACAGGTTTGCAACCCAATTGATAAGTCAGGCAACAGATCAAATTAAAATTTAGAAGTTGCTTTTGCATAGAGAGGAAAAACTGGAGGACCCAGAGAAAAACCCTTGAAGCACAGAAGAGAACCAACAAACAACTCTACTCATGTATGACACTGAGCAGGACAGGTCTCTAACCTGGGTTGCATTGGTGAGAGGTGACGCATTAGCAGCGTATGCCACCTTTGCTTCCCTGCAAAAACTATCAAGATTGCGTTCAATACCCACTGTGATCATTGACCTAGTATCTGTTCTTACTGATCAGGTGACATCAAGGAGTGTTGGAGAGATCGTTCAGTTCTACTATTTATGGAAAAAGACTGAAAGACACGATGCATTTGCTTGTCAGTCAAGGTTGTCAAAGAAAAAATATTCATTTCATCCTGGTATCACGTAAGTGAAAAAATAGATTAAACACACAAAATAATGATACTTCATTATAGATTAAGGTACATTAATTGAATAAACTTGTGCAGCAATTGTTTTTTTTTTAATTCGCATGACCACGTTAATGGACGTTAAAAGAGTGACCACGAGTAAAATTATCAGTTGAATTACTGTCAAGTGCTATCGCCTATAAACAAAGTTTATTTATTTATTAGATTTATTTTAATTGTTTTATCAAATACTAAATTCTTTGTTGTTATATTTTTGTAGGGATTATATGGACAGGTTCCTAGATGATAATGAAAGTGCAGCATCAAGTAGAGCCTCCAGTCCTCATAACTTTCCTGCTCGTTCACGTGTTGGCAATGGCTACCTCCAAAGTCAGGTCTCAAGTCATAACTCAATGTCAGTGTCACAGCCTGATGTCCATTCTGTACCCTCAGGTTCTCACCACACTACAGTCTCAATGATGTCTACTCTACGTCCTTCACACCACCCCCCACGAGAGCCTTATGGTACAACACACCAGTCACCAGGCCAACCACCACAGCTACTCCAGTCATGTGTTCCAACATCTGTCATTGTGTCCAGTCAAGAAAGACATGAAATCTCGCCTAAAAGACCACGTTTAGAACATGACAACATGCCAAGATTAATCAGCTCGGCAATCTCCAGACCACCGCCACTGAAACCCATCTTTTCTGTCTCGAATCCACTCCCTCAAAAATCTACCTCAAGTGAGTTACCATCCCACATGGGAGGTACGTCATCCAGTGTACATATACCCCAAAATAGCACATCTAACATACCAGAATCTTTACAAAGGGTCTCTGGAGCTGATATATTTCCTAAGAAATATTAATGAACTCAATTATAAATTATTTGGCGACATCAAAATAGCGCCTATAGTACCTTACTTTTATAATATACGAAGACATAAGAATTTCACATTGATGTCCTATCATCTTTTTTGCTATCATATTGTTATCGGCTTTATTTAGTGCTGAAATTCTGAAAAATGTAAATACCTAACTCACTCTATGTTTTCCATTTTTTCATTTCAAATAGCTGGCAAACATTGCTATCTTCATAAGGATATAATTTTCTACTTTTGGAACACTAAACATTCAGGAGATATGCTGACTTGAATTAGATGTTGAAACGGAAAAAACGCAAATCAAAAATAAGTCATAAAAATAAGTGAATTTTTCTCACTAATAACCTACTGTAGTTTAAATTTTCTGAGAAAACGTAGTTCCTAATACTAATGTAACTAAAGTTTAAAATCTTCTTTTGTGCGCCAATTACTTTTGAGTTGGTGTTGAGAGGAATTCCCTTGGAAATCTAACGTAGTAATGTTGTTGTAAAACTAGTCTGGGTGACTCAGGTTCAATTTTTGGACTTGGTATCACATGTGAGCAAAGATTGTGGGGTTTCTATGGGTTCTTCAGATTTTCCTCCAAGATTTTCCTTCCACAAATTCCTATTCAATCTGTGAGTTAGCATGCCCTGATTTCAACAGCCCAGAGGTTGTTTCAGGGTTCACTCTGTGAGTAGCCATGCCCTGACTTACTTCAGCCCAGACAAATGCTGTTTCAGTGCTCGATAATAATAATTTTAAATATTTTTTAGAGAGGAATTTCACATTTAAAGCAAAGAGCAAACTCTTCATCCCTGGTCTCCAGTGAATGACACACCCCACCCCACTGGGGCTTCCTATTGATAGGTTACATTACCAGCACGTTGCCAGCACCTTTTATCAGAACATTGAAATCATCTATGCTATAATCTCATAAAGTCAGATTTTCTTCATAACTTAAAGTTTGTTAGAGGAAAAGATTTCTGTCTTGGGAAAGAAAGTATACAGTAGTTGAACACAAAACTTAAATCTTAACAATAAATCTTATTTTGGAATGCAGTTTTGATTTTGAAAACTGAACAATCGGTCAAAATTAATTTTGCCGATTTTTCTCAGTCTTTTGTGAGATCTTTTTCTCGATGGCTAATTTTACAATTTCTATTTATTTTCTGTTTCAATCATTCACAGACTTGACATGACAAATTTACTTAAATATTGATAACAGAAGAAGAGGAATAGATCTTGAACATTGTCAGTTGACCTCTTTATGTTATACTCGTTTCAATTTTCTTTACCTTAGCAATACTTGAGAAGATTTGATATAGATATATGTCAGACAAACAAATGAAACGAGGGAAATGGCAAGTCTGTCAAATTGTGTATGATATTTATTTTTCATTGTACAGTAGCTTTACGTTTTTTACGTATCATTCGTTTCTTTATTTACAAGATACCGTAAACCTTTTCTGGAATAGGGAACATGGTATGCATTATTGAAGAAATAGAAAACGCGTGCTGTGTAGTGCTGTTACACAGCACGCGGGGGTTGGCAGAACACGAGAAAAGTACGAGTACGCGTAGCGGAGTGATTCTCGATTGTTTTGCCAATCTCCAAGTGCTTCATAACTTCACATCGCACAGCAAGCATTTTTTTATTTCTTTTACAAAATACACATTACAATAACCGCTATTTTGGATAGTTCTGACGCAACTGAAAGTGCGCGCGCGTGCGCATCTGTATGCTCTCATAAAGCACTCGCTTCCAACCAATATCGGAATGCTGGATTTATAACTGCTGTTAATTCATAATGTCTAGTTTCCTGATGGTACCCAAATTAGACCAGAATGCACCTTGGTCTTTAGCAAACACGGTCTGCAATCCAGTTTGGTTGCATCCATATATCGATCATGCCTTAATATATGATGTTATTGGTACCCAAGGTAACCCAGAATGCACCTTGACTTAGTTTTGGAACAACTTGGATTCTCATTTTGGGAACAAAAAGGGGCATTTATATTATTGTACAATGTACCATAGTGAAAATATTCATGATGTAAATAATAAAACAATTATATCATATGTACTGGTCGTTTATTTTCTCAGAATCAAGGGTGCAGTAGCGGTAGTACTCTCACTCTGTCTAGTGTCTCGGATTCGACTCCCAAACTCGGCATAACACGCGAGAAATACAACCAGGCATCCCAGACATATATATTGTATAGGATCCTATAAAGAGCCTATATTTAAAGAAAACCTACTATATTTCCTATAAATAGGACAACTGCTGAGTGATTCATTTATATTTTACACTGTTTAGCATATTTGGCGAAGGAAATAAAGTGCCCCCCCCCCCCTTTTTTTTTGTTCTGTTTTTTTATGGCTTTTTAGTTCTGCAAATCATTGCCTGTGCACCCTCCCGATCCCTGGTTACGCCACCGAAAAGCTATCTTAGCTCCTATAAAGTGCATATATTTTTGGGGAAAAATCCTATATTTTCCTATATGTAGAACTTGCACAGCCTATATTTCCTATCAAATTTGTCTAAAAAGTGGCTGGGATGCCTGTACACTGATCAGCCCAGAAGTTGTTTCAGGGTAAAATTTGAACAGTCAGTATTCAAAAGATTACTCGCTAAGCATCAACAAATGGGCTAAGTATCGACATGCTGAAAGCATTTATTGGGAGTTTTGTATGTGCAAGATTTGAAACCTCAAATTTTGAGAACATGTTTGAACGCAACTGTCGGCAATTCGTCACACACGAAACTTAATTTTAAGCTAAACCTCCCCAGCCTCGACCCCCTTGGGTTTTCCATTGTGCAATCAGAACATCCGAGAAATTAAAACTAATTTAATTCAATTAATTGATCATTAGCGCAGAGCTAATTATGACATAATATGCAATTATTAGCCTCATTTAGCCGTGCAGTTCAATGCGCGCGTTTAAGCGCGCGGTTGGACATGGCGATTTGAGTAGAAATGAAGGTTTGTCCTGCAGGAGTCCCGGAGCCCGAACCTACTAGAGAAAAATGGTCGCACAAGGCAGATTTTATCCTGTCCTGCGTGGGTTATGCAGTAGGATTAGGCAACATTTGGAGATTTCCATCCCTGGTTTACAGGAATGGAGGAGGTAATGTAGAGTTATGTGTCTGCAAAATCAGTAGGTGTTGATTACTTGCGGGTTTTTTTCAATTTTTAAACACACCTTGAGAACATGTAGCCCTGACGGATGACTTGATGATACTTTGGCGTAGTTTCAAACGCCACCCAGACAACGTTTAGTTTGGTTTTGTGTTTCCGTCGATCAAAAATCAACTCGGGCCATTACTTTATGTATGTAGTGTTGATAAAAGCCATAGTTGACTGGCTGTCTGGCAGGTCTAGCTAGTTTTGTAAATTATAACTTCTAATGCTGTTTTTTTTGTTTTTTGTTGTTGTTTTTTTTTTTTCTATTTTTGTATTTTTGAAAGAACATTTTTAAAATCCCATACTTAACGATCTAAAATAAATTTGCAATTCGAACCAATTCGTGTTTTCCAAATGACGTCACAGTTAACAAGATCACGTTCTCCTCGTGACGTAATATGATGACTTACCTTGACACGCGCCTCAAAGGGAACAAATCGGGGTGAAAAAATATTATTTTTCCCCAAGAGTTAGGCAAGAGACAATCATTAGTCACAATTAGATGACGCAGTCAAGACGTCTCAGGTATAAAGAGTAGCTGCTCAGTGATACTGACTCAATCAAACTAGACATTATAAAATGTATACTGTTCTAAACCTTGCGTTCAGATATTGGTTGGGAGCGCGTGGTTGACGAGAGCACACAACACACGCGCGCGCACTTTCAGTTGCGTCATTACTATCCCTTAGTGATTATTCGCTCACAAGATTATGCCATTGTCCACTATCATGTTAAGAGTGTGTGGAATCAGTGTTCTATATGAAACTAGGGCAGTTTTCGTTATGACTGTGAAATGCTCAGTGCCGTAAGCGTGCCGTGCCGTGACCCTTATGTTTTCTAAGCTTTAAATTGGCCGATTTTTTCTCGCGCAATTTGCCGGATTGATCTGGCAGCGCTGTGACTTTTGCGTGACCGTGTTCGTGCCGTGTCTGCGCCGTATTTATGCCGTGTTCAAGGTATTTGATTGGATGGAGAGTAAATTATTGAGCAACGTAATTGGTCTGGCGTATCCCTTGCGCGTTCCATAACGATCGCGTTCGTGCAGTGACCTTTCACAGTCATAGGAAAACTGCTTCTCCTAACACTTCTCTTGTGTTCTGCCAACCCCCGCGTGCTTTATAATTGCACACAGTACGCGCGCGCATTTTCTATTTCTTTAATGCAATGTTTATTATTTCTTTTTCATTGGTGCGCACTCACAAAACCATGTTATATTGATTGTGTCACCCTTGACCACCATCACGTATTTAGTGTGTGGAATCCCATGTTAATATTAATATTATTAACAATGTTAATCAATGTTTTTCCAGCCTCGTTTCTCATCCCCTATGGCATCATGTTGCTGTTGTGTGGGATTCCTTTGTTCTTCATGGAACTGGCAATTGGTCAGTATTTCAATAGAGGTGCTGTGCGCTCTTGGACAAAAATGTGCCCGGCATTTACAGGTAGCTTGGGGTGACATATGGGACGGGCCGGCAGGAAACAGAGGAGGGAAGAGGAGAGGAGAGGAGAGGAGAGGAGAGAAGAGAAAAGGATTCTGTTATTTAATTCATTCTTCATATTCAAAATACCAAAATATATTGCCCATAAGAATTGAACAAACTTTATTTCCTGTCTTATTTTCCATCCAGGGATTGGAATCGCCATGCTCATTATCTCAGCTTTTATCAGTATATATTATAATGTAATTATTGCTTGGAGCTTTTATTACTTTGTCACGAGTATGAAGTCTGAAGTGCCTTACAAAACCTGTGGGAATCCATGGAACTCACCTCTGTGTCTGTAAGTAAGATCAGCTAAGCTTGAAAATCCATGCATGATCCAGTGGGGGACAACCGTCTGCCTTACATCTTTAACCACAAGTAGAATCTCAGTTATCGATATGACATTATAGAACTGGGCGTGTTTTCCTTCCTTTTAGACCATGTGTCATTTTCTTGAGAATAAGACTTCGTTTGAGTTGTACCCATGCCATATTCAGTTCTCTTAAATAATACTCTAGGGAATGACAAGTGGTCTGAAATGGGTAAAGCATTACACCCGAGAGCTACGCCCCATAGAGGTAAAGAGATCTTAAGAAGATCTATTAATCTGGAAATATTTTCACCACAGGGAACCCGGTAGAAATGCCACTCTTCTATGTATGGATCTTGGTCTTACGAACTGCACGATGCAGTTGACAACACCAAGCGTGGAATACTGGAGGTAATTCAACGAAAACGCAACTAGTACTTGTATTATACAGTGGTTTTCGTGTGAGTGGGAAATGTACGGCACTGACTTAAGTACAGCACGGTATACGACATGCAGTAACATCGAAATGGCTTCCCATAAGAATGATTATATCATATCAGTGGGAAACATACAGTACTTACTTACAGCACGTATACAAACACGGTATGGCATGCAGTAACATTGAAATGGCTTTTCATTATTTTCCAGTAATTTATCCAACCACAACGCATAGTTAAGGCTACGGTATATAAAGATAAGGTGCGGCTAGAGTACGACTACGAAGTTACCGCGTATCTTTTCCCACTCATATAAAAACCGCTCTTATTATGATTATCGAAAATTTTCCCCAACACAAACATGTTTTGTCCTCGATACAAACATTTCATTTTTTAAAGAGATCGAGAGGTAATGCAAGATATCAGTAAGTGTTGGATTCAAACACACGCTCAGATTCGTTTCCAAAAGACAAGAAAGGACGTACTAGACGGGTTTTTATAGAACATTAACTATTTTTATTAGAAATGTGAATAAAATAAACAACAAAGGTAAGAAATGCGGCGGCCTTTAAACAGCCAGGAGTGAGTCTAGTGATTTCTGATAGACGTCAAAGTTCCTTGGTTTCAAAGCATTCTGGGTAGATTCCACCAGTGTGGGGTACTGAGGCTAAGATTGCTTCCACAAGTCTATGGACTCAGTATCATCTCTTATTCCGAACCAAATAGTCGAGTTTAGACATCGGGACACTTGTGATTTACCAATCTTTAGACATGGAAGACACACTGACGGAGAGAGCGTTGCTGCTCATCCTGGAATACCAATAGTTGAGTTCAGACAGCCAGACACTTGTGATTTACCAATCTTTAGACATGGAAGACACACTGACAGAGAGAGCGTTGTTGCTCATCCTGGACCACCTTCGACTTCCTCTCCTCGACTGTTGTTTCTTAAGCCACATGTCCTTGACATTTTCCTTGGTCAGGTTTGTTGTCAATATGCTGTGGATAAACAATCAAGATAATGCACCTTTAATAGATCTGTTTGACATTACAATTTGAGATTTATTGTGAGGTGGAAGGTAGTACTATTGCGACACTCAAATGGTTTCCGCTTTGACCCAATCAGCAAGCGAGAATATATTCGCCATCCAATCATAGTCCACGTTTTTGGGAGCCATTTGAGAGGCAATTGTTTAAATGACATAAATGTTTCATTTGATATGTTACAAGCCTTACCTTCTTCTAATGTTGTCAATCTCCTTTTCTCTGATCGTCTGCTTGCTTGTCTCAGGGCGTGGCTCAACAGTTGTTTCATCGCTCAGTTTTTGTTTCTTTGGTTTATCCGTCACTTCACTCGTCTTCCCCTTTTGGTTCTTCAGAATCTCTCTTTCTTTCCCTGGGCTTATAGGAAATATATCTGTAGATTTACAACAGCAGAACTGCTTGCCATTATCAGATGCCAAGCTGCACCATCGGTTATATGCAAGCAATGTCATGACAAAAACTAGCTTCACCACGTTCAGGCCAAGCCACGCCATTAGTACCAGCATGCATGGTAGATAGGACAGTATAATGTAGACCATGGCATAAGTTGCTAGACCACAGATGTGTAGTGCTATGTAACACTCCTCGTATATCAGCCAGATAATATAGGTGAGTAGTGTTCGTGCGGTCCATGGCTCCAACTCAAAACTACGACAGACTTGCAGGATTGCTTTGTAGACAAGGTATATAAGGTAACAAATACCAACCAAGGCAACCCCCAGTACTAAATGTCCTGATAAATGTAGCATCAACGGTAGAGCAAACATAAGCAGATTCACTCCACAACCAGACAGGACAGAAACGGCTTTGAGAATGACCAGACCAGCCAACATGGCCTTGAGTAAACAACCAGGTATGATGAGAGGTAAAAACAGGGCAAACATCAAAGGATGAGACTTCTTGTACTGGAAGACGTATTCAAAAGTTGCTATATACCATAGGTAATGGACGGTTTTCTGGTAATGGATTGGTGATTCCATGACAAACAAACCTTCCAGGTAACCTGCAAATGAACGAATGAAATAATTCTTTAATTTTTATCGTTCCTTATTTATTTGCAGAGAGAAAGCTGAACATTTCTTTCGCGCAGTCTGTTCTTTGCGCATTATATTTGCTTCTCTTAATTCTCTTCCTCTTTCTTTGTCATACTTTTTCAAAAAGCTTACAAATTAGTCGTGATTGCAAATAGAATACTTTGTCTTTTTTCTTTTTCGAAGTTACATCCACATTTAATGAAGATCATTGTTTTCTCAGCAAATAGTAATTATTTTTGCATCGCTCTTTTTTTTCTTCTTTTTTTTTTTTTTTTTTTTTTTATTTTTTTATTTTTTTATTTTTTTATAGTTACAACCACACTTAATGTAGATCATTGTTTTCTCAGCCACAAATTCTTTGTGTGCGTACAAGTTTCTCA